CTCATCAGGCGGTCGCCAGGAGACAAGACAGAGACTCCCTGCACTCTCCTGACTCCTGTTCAATACGTATGCCCAGTCAGACAGATACACGCAGATAGACAGACAGACCGACAGACACAGACAGACGGGTGGGCGGACGGACAGATGGACAGACAAACAAATCACCTTTATTCGCCAAATATATTTGCATGTACAGGAATATGACTCAGTGAAATGGTGCTGCAACAATACACAGACAGACGATAAACAGGATATCCAGACAACATACAATACCAGTCAAAGGTTTGATAAACCTACTTATTCCAGGGTTTTGCTTTATTTTTACTATTTTCTACATTGTAGAATAATAGTGAAGAAATCAAAACTATGAAATAACAGATATGGAATCATGTAGTAACCAAACAAAAGTGTTAAACAAATAAACATCTATTTTATATTTGAGATTCTTCAAAGTAGCCACCCTTTGCCTTGTCTCCCGAGTGGCGCAGCACTTGGGCTGTTGTTGCATCGCGTGTGCCATCACAGTAGCTGTTCCTCACTTGACTGTCATTCAGAAAATTCCTACCTGGATCAGATGGTATGAAAATATTACAGTGTAATTAATATACTAGCTGTGCCGCTAGAGATCCTGGTTCGAAATCCAGGCTCTGTCGTAGCCGGCCGCGACCGGGAGACCCATGGGGCGGCGCACAATTGGCCCAACATCGTCCAGGGTATGGGAGGGAATGGCCGGCAGGGATGTAGCTCAGTTGGTAGAGCATGGCGTTTGCAACGCCAGGGTTGTGGGTTCGATTCCCACGGGGGGCCAGTATGAAAAAAATTACAAAAAATAATAATGTATGCACTCACTAACTGTAAGTCGCTCTGGATAAGAGCGTCTGCTAAATGACTAAAATGTAAATGTAATGACAGCTTTGCACACTCTTGGCATTCTCTCAACCAGCTTCATGAGATAGTCACCTGGAATTCATGTCAATTAACAGGTGTGCCTTGTTAAAAGTGAATATGTGGAATTTCTTTCCTTCTTAATGCGTTTGAGCCAATCAGTTGTGTTGTGACAAGGTAGGGGTGGTATACAGAATATAGATAGCCCTATTTGGTAAAAGACCAAGTCCATATTATTGCAAGAACAGCTCAAATAAGCAAAGAGAAACGACAGTCCATAATTACTTTAAGACAAGAAGGTCAGTCAATACGGAAAATTTCAAGAACTTTGAACGTTTCTTCAAGCGCAGTCTCAAAACATCAAGAGCTATGATGAAACTGGCTCTCATGAGGACTGCCACAGGAAAGGAAGACCCAGAGTTACCTCTGCTGCAGAGGATAAGTTCATTAGAGTTAACTACACCTCAGATTGCAGCCCAAATAAAAGCTTCACAGAGTTCAAGTAACAGCACATCTCAACATCAACTGTTCAGAGGAGACTGCATGAATCAGGCCTTCATGGTCGAATTGCTGCAAAGAAACCACTACTAAAGGACACCAATAATAAGAAGAGACTTGCTTGGGCCAAGAAACACGAGCAATGGACATTAGACCGGTGGAAATCTGTCCTTTGGTCTGAGGAGTCCAAACTTGAGATTTTTGGTTCCAACCGCCGTGTCTTTGTGAGACGCAGAGCAGGTGAACGGATGATCTCCGCATGTGTGGTTCCCACCGTGAAGCATGGAGGAGGAGGTGTGATGGCGTGGGGGTGCTTTGCTGGCGACACTGTCTGTGAAATATTTAGAACTCAAGGCACACTTAACCAGCATGGCTACCACAGCATTCTGCAGTGATACGCCATCCCATCTGGTTTGCGCTTAGTGGGACTATCATTTGTTTTTCAACAGGACAATGACCCAAAAACACACCTCCAGGCTGTGTAAGGGCTATTTGACGAAAGAGAGTGATGGAGTGCTGCATCAGATGACCTAGCCTCCACAGTCACCTGACCTCAACCCAATTGAGATGGTTTGGGATGAGTTGGACCAGAGTTAACGAAAAGCAGCCAACAAGTGCTCAGCATATGTGGGAACTCCTTCAAAACTGTTGGAAAGGCATTCCTCATGAAGCTGGTTGAGAGAATGCCAAGAGTGTGAAAAGCTAACATCAAGGCAAAGGGTGGCTACTTTGAAGAATCTAAAATATTTTTGATTTGTTTAACACTTTTTTTGTTACTACACAATTCCATATGTGTTATTTCATAGTTTTGATGTCTTCACTATTATTCTACAATGTAGAAAATAGTACAAATAAAGAAAAACCCTTGAATGAGTAGGTGTGTCCAAACTTTTGACTGGTACTGTAAGTATATTAATGTTTAGTGAATGTCTTTTGGAAAAGTGTATTTTGGAAAAGTGTCTACAGTATAAACAATTAACTTTTTACCTGCTGGATTATTCTGTTCCCACCTCTTGGCATACTGATGAACTGATCTGTGAAGTACTGGAAGGCCAACAAGATTAGTTTGTCAAGCCATAGTAAATGACTCACCTGCCACCTACTGGACAGATGGGATACTACTCTAAAAATACACACTTTCTTGGCAATCCAGATTTCCAGATCCATGTGATTTAATCAGTGGTGTAAAGTACTTAAGTAAAAATACTTTATAAAGTACTACTTAAGTAGTTTTTTGGGGTATCTGTACTCTACTTTACTATTTATATTTTTGACACCTTTACTTCACTACATTCTAAAGAAAATCATGTACTTTTTACTCCATACATTTTCCCTGACACCCAAAAGTACTCATTACAGTTTGAATGCTTAGCAGGACAGGACAATAGTCCAATTCTAGCGCTTATCAAGAGAAAATCCCTGGTCATCCCTACTGCCTCTGATCTGGCAGACTCACTAAACACAAATGCGTCGTTTGTCAATTATGCCTGTGTTGACGTATGCCCCTGGCTATCATAAAAATAAATAATATGGTGCTGTCTGGTTTGCTTAATATAAGGAATTTGAAATGAGTTTATTTTTGCAATTACATTTACTTTGATAATTAAGTATATTTAAAACCAAATACTTTTAGACTTTTACTCAAGTAGTATTTTACTGGGTGACTTACTTTTACTTGAGTCATTTTCTATTAAGGTATCTTTACTTTTACTCAAGTATGACAATTGGGTACTTTTTCCACCACTGGGTTTAATATAGAATAATGTAATATAGAAAATAACCTTAAGAGTCCAGGAAGGACATAGAGATACCATTATGTTATGACATAACAAAAGTGTTTCAGTCAGACAGTACATTTTCTTCCTCTTAAGAGTTTGTCACACCTGCTGTGAAACACCAGACAACCTACTGCAGTAGTTAGTGCTTCCTTTACCAACCTTACTTACAGTAGATCAGATGTGGCATTAAGTTCATATTCATGAGTCTAAAAGTGATTGTGTAGCTCAATTAAGTTACTTTAAGATGATGCGGAGACAAAGCGCAAAAAAAACTAATATAGGGGATATTGATTTGCATTGGATTTGTGTCACATATGCTAAAAAGTTAGCATTTCGAGACAGTGACTAGGTAAACAAAAGCATGGATTGATGTCTTACCTTGTCCATAGACTGCTTGCAGGTTAAGGAAACCACTATGTCATTTTGTAATTTGGGTGAACTATATCTTTAAGGCCTAGTCTGTGTGTAACACCTAACACATACACTGAGTCTACAAAACATTAGGAACAACTTCCTAATATTGAGTTGCCCCCTCTTTTGCCCTCAGAATAGCCTCAATTCATTGGGGCATGGACTCCATAAGGTGTCGAAAGCGTTCCACAGGGATGCTGGCCCATGTTGACTCCAGTTTGCTGGATGTCCTTTGGGTGGTGGACCATTCTTGATACACACGGGAGACTGTTGAGCATCAAAAACCTAGCATCGTTGCAGTTCTTGACACAAACCGGTGCGCCTGACACCTACTACCATACCCCGTTCAAAGGCACTTAAACCTTTTGTCTTGCCCAGTCACCCTCTGAATGGCACACATACACAATCCATGTCTCAACTGTCTCAAGGCTTAAAAATCCTTCTTTAATCAGTCTCCTCCCCTTCATCTACACTGGATTGAAGTGAATTTAACAAGTGACATCAATAAGGGATCATAGCTTTCACCTGTATTCACCTGGTCAGTCTATGTCATGTTTTGTACAGTGTAGTTACACTCATTGATGTCACGAAAGTAACAATCTCATTCTTTCTCAGGTTATATAAGAGAAGTAGGGTTCAAGCGATGAACGAAAGTTGAAACTAACCATACATACTGACAAAAGAAACGGGGGAAACCACAGCTCAAAGTTTGATCCAAAGTGGACATTTTAGTGATTTAAGAACAAAAACGCTACAAAGATTTACTTCTCGTACTGCAGATATCACATCAGTAGGTCCTGTTGCGTCACAATTTTCAACCGCTTCTTTTGTTAAACAGCAAGTAACACCCCATTATGACACACAGACACACAGCATCTCGTTAGATCATCTTGTTAGGCACGAGGTGGGGGAGGGAGATCTATGTGTGCATGTGTGTTTACTGTATTTTTCATAGCTTATAATTCAATTCATGACCATGGCAGTGTCCAAATCATCTTAAAATGCTCCCTTCAAGAAATCAACAATCCACAATGACTACAAACAGGTGAAAGTAATGTGGCAGAAACAATGACATTTCCGGTTCCACCATACCGCCTTCACTATCTATATCTGTTCAGTCATTGCGAAGCTTAGATACCCAAGTGAGCAAGGGAGCATTTATAGAGTATTGGGACGTGGCCTGGGTATTCCATTTTTCTCTTTTCGTTCTGAGCACAGTGCAGATATATTTAAACCCCATAGGCTGGGCCCTGGTGGCGCTCCAGGTAGAAGTCACCCGTACACACAGATCTAGGATCCGACTACTTCACCACCAAACTCCTATTCCCAACAAGGGGACTGGGGCAATATCTGACTCTGGATCAGTGGTTAGGGGGTATCTTCTAACTACTCCCTGGAAGCGCCCTCAGATCTGCTAGGCAGCTGTGGTCACTGCAGTAGAGGGTGGGCCGGGCCAAAGTGGCCCAGGTTCTCACACGCTTTAAGCCAGCGCTGGACATTGGCCGGAGAGGAGGAGGCGGGGCCTGTCTGGAGGACGCAGCAGTAACAGGCGATGTCAGCCAGCGAGAACTCGGGACCGGCCAGCCAGGGGTCGCGACCCAAAGCGCTGTTGAGGGCGCTGAGTACGGCAGACCGCTCCTTAGCGCTGCCCTCGGCCAGCTGGAAGAAGGCCGTGTCCACCCAACTGTCCACCAGTGTAGCCAGTGTGGGGTCGCTGGGGTAAGGGGCAATGAGGCGGAACAGGAAGCGTGCCACGTTGGCCTCGCCCTCGATGGGGCACATGTTCTGGATGCTGAACTTCATCTGCAGCTTGGGGACTAGAGAGACAGAGAGGGGAGACAGAGAGAGGTGGGAAACAGAGCGAGAGAGGGGGGAGACAGAGAGAAACAGAGAGAGAGAGAGAGAGAGAGAGAGAGAGAGGAGAGAGAAAGAGAGAGAGAGAGAGAGAGAGAGAGAGGGGGAGAGAGAGAGAGAGGGGAGACAGAGAGAGGTGGGAAACAGAGAGAGGAGACACAGAGAGAGAGGGGAGACAGAGAGAGAGAGGGGGAGACAGAGAGAGAGGAGACAGGGAGAGAGGAGACAGAGAGAGAGAGAGAGGAGACAGAGAGACAGAGAAGACAGAGAGAGAGAGGAGACAGAGAGAGAGGGGGCGAGAGAGGAGACAGAGAGAGAGAGGGGCGAGACAGAGAGAGAGAGGGGCGAGACAGAGGAGACAGAGAGGCGAGAGAGAGACGGAGAGAGAGAGAGGAGACAGAAAGAGAAGAGAGAGGGGAGACAGAGAGGAGACAGAGAGAGAGGAGAGAGGGGAGACAGAGAGAGAGAGGATACAGAGAGAGAGGAGAGCGGGGAGACAGAGAGAGAGAGAGGAGACAGAGAGAGGAGAGAGGGGAGACAGATAGAGAGAGAAAGGGCAATGAGTGAGGGCAAGGGATGAGAGGAGAAATGTACATTTAATCCAAAGATAATCTAAATAGATGTTAAAAATGTTGAAAGCAGCTAACAATGAAAGGACACATTGACATATGAATAGTAAATGGTGAGCAGACTCTCTGTCAGGAGCTATGGCTAGGTGACAATCCTAACCCAATCTGCCCACCCCATATTTCTCCACCTACTGTCCCCCCATAAACCTTCTACTATTTTTCTACCCTGTCTCTGACCACCCCCACCCTTACCATCTTTCCATATAAGGGTGAAGCCCAGCTGGAAACTCTGGCGGACGTAGCTGTCTGTGTGGCGCGGCCCCAGGCAGGAGAGGAGCTGCGCGGGCACACCAGACAATGACGAGTGGACATGCACGCTGGAGAGCACCCGGTAGCGATGGCATAGCATTGCATGGAGCACCAGCAGGGTGAGGGGCGGTCGTGCCGGATTGGCGTTGATCACAATGTCCCGGAGGGCACCCAGGTCCTAATGGGTAGAGGGCAAATGATGATGATACCATCATAAGGTGTTTCCACCAATCTTGAGTCGTGGCATAGCCGAAATAGACAAATAAAGCAGAGTATAGGCGAAACTCAACTTAATGAATTGATGTTCCTATGAGAGCTCTAATTGACAAGAGCTCTATTGCTATAAGATCTCTAACAGAAGAGAGCTCTATTCCTATCAGAACTCTTAATTGACAAGAGCTCTATTCCTATAAGATCTCTAACAGACAAGAGCTCTTTTCTTATCAGAGCTCTAATTGACAAGAGCTCTGTTGCTATAAGATCTCTAACAGAAAATAGCTCTATTCTTATCAGAACTCTAATTGACAAGAGCTCTATTCCTATAAGATCTCTAACAGACAAGAGCTCTTTTCTTATCAGAGCTCTAATTGACAAGAGCTCTGTTGCTATAAGATCTCTAACAGAAAATAGCTCTATTCCTATCAGAACTCTAATTGACAAGAGCTCTATTCCTCACCTTGCCCAGTAGGGAGTCCAGGTCTGCAGTGCCTCTGAAGGCTGTGGGGCTCTGGGAGAGAGAGGTCACTGTCTGGTCCAGGTCAGCGTCCGGTGTGGTCACGGTCTTGGCTAGGCCGTCCACGGCTGCCTTCAGCTCATAGAGCCTGCGCATTATCTCATCCTGACGTGCCTCCAGGTCTCTGAACGCAGGGTCCACCTCTGTCCCTCCGTTCTACAGGGGGAGGGGGGAGAGAGGGGATGGAGAGCTATGGTTACCACATATATACTGTACATTAAGACAAACTCACACACATCAGCGGTCCTTGATTTTATGCTGACGCAGCTCCAAAGCCTGCACTGCAGGGTCTACCTGTCTGTTATTCAGGACAGGAAGAGAAAGTAAACACACCCACGCTGCCCTCAGGGCCCTGTGAAAGAAATGTGTTAACACAATACACACAAACACACATTACATGATCATTCTCTAAACATGGTTGGCTTAGCCCAATCTTCCCTCCAAGCCGCACGCGGGTGCGCAGTAGCCCCGAGACTGCCGCGCAGCTCCCCCGGGACTGCCGCTTGATTGAACTTCTCAACTTTCTAGAGTTTTCCCTGTTAGTTAGCACTATCAACGTTTCCCTTTACTGTGGCAATTGTGATCGAATCAACGCAATATTAGCCACTTTCAATGCAACATACCGAAACAAAACTAACTATGCAAGAGATTTTGTTGTAGGGAGAACACTTCGGAGTAGGCCTATTGCGCACGACTCAGCCTGTACTCTACACAGACCAGTGCGGCATAACCAATCATAGCTGCAATAGGCCTATATGCAAATAGACCATTGCCATATATGGATCTGTGCCATTTATTTTGAACTGGACTGTGTTTACAGCTGTGGTCTTGAGTAGATGCGCTTGTTTTGAGATCAAAGCAAGAGCTGCATGTAGCCACGTCTGCACATGTTGTTCATATTGTTTGCTAGTTAGTGAGTTAATAGCCCAGTTATACATTATTTGTAGTCAGCTATGGGGGAGTGATTGCTTCCTACAAGAGCACAAAACGTATACATTTCAAGACATCTTTGAAAAGCCAGTCAGGTAAAGATCTTTTTTTTGGTCATAAAGGGTCAGTGTTGTATTTTGACACAGGCTTGAATAAGCTAAGTAGCCAATAGCCAGAGCGTAGCATAATTTGTCTCATTCTCTGTAATAATGGTATGGGAATAATAATGCATTTTATTTTGTGAAGTGGTTTCTTGCATCAAACAACACAATAACAACACAAACGTCTGCTCAATGGCATATTATTATAATAATTATATTATTAATAAAATGTTCAGTCACCTCCTTGTCTTAAGGACAAATGGATAAACAGGTTAATGTCAAGCCCTGTATGTTTTTTTTCAAAAGTCTCATGGAATGTAGGCCTACGTTGAACACCACACATTGGCTTCTGCTGTAGGCTGAATGATAGAACAGCTATTTCAAAGTTTAAAATGTTATGGGATGGATTTTCTCCATTGTTTTTGATGGTAGGTCACTCTGGTAGGCCTACATTATGATCAAATAGTCACAGTAGCCTACTTGGCCACCGTTAAAACTGTAACTTAAAGCGGGTACAGCCTCAGTGTTCACAGTAAATGTGAGCTGGAAGCTGCACAGAATTTTCCCAACATTCAAGTTTGCTTACAGCAGACCTGAAATTTGCTGACCGCCTTAGAAAATTAGAGGGAACATTGGTTAGGCCTATGTCACACTGAGGGACTAGCTATGTAGTCAGTCAGATAATTGTTTGAGGGGGAATGAATACTGAGAGGGGTGAAGGGGTTGATTGCCAAGAAAGCTGTGTTTACTGAGGAAGTCTTTAGGTGAAAAGAGAAATGTGGCATTTTCTGTGGCATTGAGGCATTCTTATAAACTAACTAGATAATTTGGTCTGATGATTGTAAACGGAGAGTCATTGTCGATAAGGCTGAATTCAGAGCCATTTCTATAGCCAGCTAGCAACATTATAATATAACGTTCGGCTATGGCTGAAACCATTAGCTTAACGTTAGATGGCATGCCATCATTTAGAAAAAGGCTACTAGAATAGACTACTCGGCTATATAACCTAGCTGTTCATCATACTGTATAATGACATGTTGTTGCTGCGGTCTCGCCAACGTTAGCTAGCTACAGTAGTACATTCCTGGCAGTCAGTACACCCACCCATATAATCAAGACTCAGTCTAGGACACAAAAGGTCTGAACTGTGCAGATCATATGCTGGCTGCTAAAATCTAACTTACTCTGTAGAGGCAAATATATTTTCTGTGTAGTGTACTGGTAACGTCCTGTCACATTCTGGAGGGCACAACCAAAACATCTAGCTACAGTAGCTAACTCAGCTAGTCAGCCACACATCATTGCATCAGCCGAGATTGGTAGGATTGAAGCTAGGCTAACGTTAGCTAACTAGTTGGAAAAGTATCTAGCTGCTGACTGTTGTTGTTGTTGTGGGGGTGGGGCTATGTAGCTAGCTCATTTTTGACGACAAATGTCACATTTATTAGCTGGCTAGTTAATTTATGACATTAGTGAGATTAGCTTGTCCATTTATGGACGGAATGAAATGAGTTACCTGAAGCGCATGTTCGGAGCAGCCACTTGCACTTCCCTGCCCGTGGATATTCTGTAACTTGTACATGCAGGTTGGCAAATTAATCTTTACGTCAACCCCAAAGACGGGCTTTACCTGGTACATGGGCATATTGTCGGGTGGTTAGTGCCCTCCAAAATAAAAATCACAACCAATAATCCAGCAACAGTTGACTTCTGGAGACGTTATGTTGTCAGACCGCCGCAGCTACGTGCAGCCTGGGACCAAAAGGAAGGATGCCTGACTCGGTGTCTTACGTCACATCCGGTGATTTGCTCACAGAGGTGTAGCTGCTACCGAAATCTTTGATTTGGTCAGGTCCATCCAGACCAGGTACGATTTTGTGTGTATAAAGCTACATTTCTCCATATGCAGCTAATGACTAGTCCTGGTCTAATACACTGTAGCTACTGCAGTTATTGCTTAATATCAGCAGCAGTGGCGACGCGTTATTCAGGGCAGGTGGGGCAGAGCAAGTAAAAGTGAATGTCACCCAGTAAAATACTACTTGAGTAAAAGTCTAAAAGTATTTGGTTTTAAATATACTTAAGTATCAAAAGTAAATGTAAGTGCAAAAATATACTTAAGTATAAATCATTTCAAATTGCTTATATTAAGCAAACCAGATGGCACAGTTTTATTTATTTTTCATTTATGGATAGCCAGGGGCACACTCCAACACTCAGACATAATTCACAAATGAAGCATTTGTGTTTAGTGAGTCCGCCAGATCAAAGGCAGTAGAGTAGACCAGGGATGTTCTCTTGATAAATCCGTGAATTGAACTATCTGTCCTGCTAAGCATTCAAAATGTAAGGAGTATTTTTGGGTGTCAGGAAAATGTATGGAGTAAAAAGTACATTATTTTCTTTAGGAATGTAGTGAAGTAAAAGTAAAAATTGTCAACAATATAAATAGCAAAGTAAACTACAGATACCCCAAAAAACGACTTAAGTAGTACTTTAAAGTATTTTTACTTAAGTACTTTACATCACTTCTGTGGTGGTGGGGCAGCCACCAAATATGGAGCATAGGGGTTGGTAATGTTCTCTAGTTGCGCCATGATCGGCTCAGTGTTCTGTCACTCATGGGGACAATACGTCACCGCAAAATCTACGGGTATAGCTCGAAAATTCAAGCCCCTTGGGTGCTGCCATAGACTTACATTAGAAGTGCCCATCCAAGAAGGCTCAAGGTCATTCGCCACAGATAAAATTACGTCAAATCACGTTATATCTACCGTAGCTTTGATTGGACTGATCATGTCAACATCCATATTTTCAAAATCTTAGCTAGCAAGCTAGACAAGCAGTCATCATCATGCATCAAGTCGGCAATCTACTGGCAAATCCTTTTCAATCCTTGTCATATGAAGATAAATTATAGATAAAACGTATCGGTGCTCATTGGCAATTGGACATAAACAATACACAACAAGTTCGAAATCACAAATTCAACAATGAGTGCTAAGGCGCCACTGCAGCCCCAGGTTCGATCCCAGGCTGTGTCACAGCCGGCCGTGACCGGGAGACCAATGGGACGGCACACAACTGGCCCAGCGTCGTCCGGGTTAGGGGAGGGTTTGGCCGGCCGGGATTTCCTTGTCTCATTGTGCTCTAGCGACTCCTTGTGGCGGGCCGGGTGCCTGCAAGCTGACTTTGGTCGTCAGTTCGACAGTGTTTCCTCCGACACATTGGTGCGGCTGGCTTCCGGGTTAAGCGAGCAGTGTGTCAAGAAGCAGCGGCTTGGCTCTCACCCTGCGCTGAGTCCGTAGGGGAGTTGCAGCGATGAGACAAGATCGTAACTACACATTGGATATCACGAAAAAGGGGGTAACGCCATTGGCCAAAAGAGTTTGAATACATTGGCCATGCTGTCAATCCAGCATGACTTCTGCTGCGTTCAAAACAACTGGAAACTCGGAACTAGGAAATCTCAGACTTCAGTGAGTTCAAGACAACTGGGAACTTGGATAAAACTAGCTCAGACTGGGAAAATATGGAAAATAATTTTGAACTCGGAATTCCATATCGAGATTTTGGGCCTCTTTCTAGAGCCCAGAAGAAGGACCGCCGTGCCACCTTCTGTTCAAGTGAGCACAGCACAACAAGGTGAGTCCAAAAATGTATTGTATGCTGCTACATAAATGATGTAATATGCCAGGGAGATATGTATACTGTAGTCAAGAAAGTAATACTAAGTGTATGTTGTGTAGTAAGCTGTTAGTAGCCCATGTGCCTCACCCTAATATTGTGGTCCCTTTCCTCCCTCATAACTTAGCCTACTGTTCTGACTTGATGGTGCACATGTAGCCTATAGCCTGTTTTAGAGAAATGTAATCATCAAATATTGTAAGAGCTTTCATTGTCCGCTTATATCCCCCTTTATTTATCCTACGGTTCTAACTTGGTGTACAGGGAGAATACTGTAAGAACGGCCCATGTTCTGAATTCTGACGCTGTACATTTCAAAAGTGCTGAACAAATAGTTATATTGACTACATCCATCCTAGCTCGCTCATTAATGTCTCTAATTGAAATTACGGATTGCCTCTTATCCGCTCGTCATTCCCTTATGCCATAGTTTGTACATCTCAATTGTCTACTCCCGAGTGGCGCAGTGGTCTGTGCCACTAGAGATCCTGGTTCGAATCCAGGCTCTGCTGTAGCCGGCCGCAATCGGGAGACCAATGGGGCGGCGCACAATTCGTCCAGGGTAGGGGAGGGAATGGCCGGCGGGGAGGGAATGGCCGGCAGGGAGGTAGCTCAGTTGGTAGAGCATGGCGTTTGCAATGCCAGGGTTGTGGGTTCGATTCCCACGGGGGGCCAGTATGAAAATAAAAGAATAACGTAGGGGAGTTGCAACTGTAAGTCGCTCTGGATAAGAGCGTCTGCTAAATGACGTAAATGTAAATGTAAAATGTCAGTAGGAACCACATTTGTTGAAGCAAGTCAGCCATATCAGCGATGTTTTTTTAAAAGGCAATAAATGAGGCTGAATTAACTTTTTCGCTGCCAGACAAGGCTCCGCTGATAGCCAGGTGTAGCGGTGGTAAGGATTCAATCCATGGAGTTGAAAAGAAAGCTCTGCTGTTGGGACAGCTTTATGTAAGCTCTAACAGTTTGTGGGCACCGTTTGTCACCGTTATAGTGCAATGAATGTATTGTTTAGTGTTATGTTGTGTAGTGGCTTTGCTGGCATGCATAAAACATTTTTTGTTTAGGTTGCCCCACCAAGATTTAAATGCTAAAATGGCGCCGGAAGAGATGGCTGCCGTTTTATGGACTCTTAACCAAACATGCTTAAGACAAAGGAGATGATTGTGGACTACAGGAAAAAGAAGAGGACCGAGCACACCCCCATTCTCATCGACGGGGCTGTAGTGGAGCAGGTTGAGAGCTTCAAGTTCCTTGGTGTCCACATCACCAACAAACTAACATGGTCCAGGCATGTTACAGGAGGGGGGTCGCAGTTCCGGAGCGACCCACTAGGTGTCAACCTCCGACAACCTTAGGCACCTCCTCAATCACAGTCTGGACTAATCATTATCTTATTGGTGTCACCTGTGTCTACCTGTTCACCTGTGTATTTATGCCCTCACTTCCCTGTGTTCCCTTGCTCTGTTTTCTCTGCTAGTTCTCGATGCCAAAGAGTACTAATCAGTGTCTGATCACGAGACATATGTACAGGTACTTGAGAAGTGTTCTCCCTGTTTCATTGTTGTTTTCAGTCATAGTTAGTATTTCGAATGTTTGCTGTCAGCCTGTTTTTGGAGACCAATTTGCTCCTCCTTTATTTTTTTCCATGCTTTTGTATCCTGGTTTTGGGACCACCAGTAAAGATCCTTGTTTCACCATCTCTGCCTACTGCCTACTGTCTATCCTGCACCGCGCCTGGGTCACACCTCACCCCAACCCTTACACAAGCACACCAAGACAGTCGTGAAGAGGGCACGATAAAACCTCTTCCCCCTAAGGAGACTGAAAAGATTTGGCATGGGTCATCAGATCCTCAAAAGGTTCTACAGCTGCACAATCGAGAGCATCCTGACTGGTTGCATCACTGTCTGGTATGGTAACTGCTCGGCCTCCGACCGCAAGGCACTACAGAGGGTAGTGCGTACAGCCCAGTACATCACTGGGGCCAAGCTTCCTGCCATCCTGGACCTCTATACCAGGCGGTGTCAGAGGAAGGCCCTAAAAATTGTCAAAGACTCCAGCCAGCCTAGTCATAGACTGTTCTCTCTGATACTGCACGGCAAGCGGTACCGGAGCGCCAAGTCTAGGTCCAAGAGGCTTCTCAACAGCTTCTACCCCCAAGCCATAAGACTCCTGAACATGTAATCAAATGGCTACCCTGACTATTTGCATTGCCCCCCCTCCCCCCCTCTTTCTCGACTAACCGGTGCCCCCGCACATTGACTCTGTTCTTTTTTACTTTTATTTTGTATTATTTTATATTGTATATTTTGTTGTGATTTTTTTTTGGGGGGGGGTATTCTTTCTTAAAGCTGCATTGTTGGTTAAGGGCTTGTAAGTAAGCATTTCACTGTAAGGTCTACTCCTGTTGTATTCGGCGCATGTGACAAATAAAATGTGATTTGATTTGAATCCTGAAATACTGTTCTGCTGCACTCCATCATACATCCACTAGAGGGCCTCATACCACCATGATGACGTCTGGAGAAGCAGGGAAAGATGTCAGCACACCACATAGAGATAGATAGAGGACTCATCTTTATATCTGTGCTATTATAGCGTCTGTGACAGCATGGGCAGTTCAATTGAGGCTACAACCCATTGCAATCCCTGCCCAGTTGACTACTTTGACTACTTTAAAATGGCGGAAGCATGGTGGAAGCACTCAATGGCAATGTCCATGCTGAAACGGGTTATATCCATGATGAGTCCTCTATCTCTATGACACAGCAGCACATCTCTGATAGACTCATAGACGCTCTCATTAGAGCCCACTAGCCAAGTCCCCCTGACTAGGTGACCGGACCAGGAAAAACTCTAGGCCCTAGCTAAATATATGTTTCTGGTCATGTGGAATTCAGCAGAGCCTGGAATCATCCATCCCATTGGTTATTTCATTGGGTATAATTTGTATCTCGCAGTAGGCTAAACATAGAGGTAGAAAAATAAGAGGTGTGTGTGTGTGCGTGCGCGTGCATGCATGTGTGTGTGTATTTGAGACCTGAAACCAAAGGACAGCGTCACCTGTCTTCAATGACAAGAT